GGCCTAAAATTTCAGCTATGCCATGGATCCGTGCTGTAGGATGGTATAATAAGAACCCAGAGGAGGAGAACTCAAGGAGGACATCATGGAGGAAAGAGACTCCGCAAAATGAGGATGGAGAGTGGAGCTGCAGGCAGAGAGCTTCTTGCCTACAGTCTGGCAAAGCACTGGAACTTGAAGGCACAAATACCACTACTAGAGACTCATTCCACAGGTCTCTTGTCAACCACAGGGTTACCAGTCAGAGTCTGATGACCCAGGGTTTTTTAGTTTGCTTTTATAGTTGACCACAACCAAATTTGAATCCCAAATCCTTTTATACGCATTGTTCAGTTCACCTCCTTAGACTATACAGAGCCCAACTCTGAGTATAATCAGCCTCCCTGGCCTCTTCCACCCTCTCACACATCTGGAGGACACAGATAAAGTCTTTGATATGGAGAATTCAGCCATGAAAAGGAAAGTAATATAGACTCACACTGCCACATGGGTTAATCTTGCAAACAGGATGCCAGGTGAAAGAAGGCAGACACAAAAGCCACCCATTGACTCTATTCATATGCAATGCCCAACTGTCCAATGTAGGCAAATCTATAGAGACAATATGCAGATTGGTGCCAGGGTGCAGGGGCGGAGGGATAGGCGATGAGGGCTAAATTGGTGCAGGGTTTCTGCAGTGATAAAATACCACTGAATTGTGCCTTTGAAAGGGTATTTTTAAGGTGCGCAAGTTATATCTCACTATTTTAGAAAAGATATGGGGAGAGAAAGACTTGGTTTTACGTCTACCTTCTCCAAACACAGACCCTGCTATGTCTGTAATGCTTGAAGCTCCTGAGTTCATGAGAAGGCCCAGCCAGCAATGATGAGTGTCATCAGAATAAACACAAAATTCATTCCCAAGTTGTCAACGACTGATCTGGTTGAGAGGTAGTGTGCCTGACAGAGCATGGACATCTCCACCATTCCACCTTGAACCACTATTTATTAAGTGTCTACCTTGCACTGGCTGGTGCAGCAGTGTGAGATGCCAGGGGATAGCAGCAAAGGAGACAGACACAGGGCCCATGGTAGAGACAAGACACTGAAACAAGGGGTTGCACAGATAATTCCCAAATTACCATTATGCCGTGACACAGAATTACATGATCACCAATATATAATATATTCATGGGTTAAGCAACTCCATGAGGGGTTAGCATTTAAGCCAAGCCTGAAAGACAGGGAAAGTGGAAAGCAGAGGTGCTAAACAAGGGAACGAGGGGACCAGGAAGAGCTCCCCAAGGTTGGAGAGGGTGCAGGGAGGGCAAAAGAGCCCAGGGAGAGAACAGTTGACTCCCTATGTCACCAGGCACAGAGATCAACCCTGAACTCACCAAGCAGGAATTTGGGCATCTGTGCTGAAGATGGGTGCCTTCCAGAATGTTCATGTACTGAGAGTTTAAAAAGTGTGTCTAATACCATTGTTTATTCATTCATTCATCCAATATTTATTGAGCAACTGCAACATGCCAAATTCTGGAGATACACAAACAAGCACACAACATCGCTGCCCTCTGGGGGCTCACATTCTAAAGGGGGAGACAGACAGTCAACAGGTGAATGGACAGTCAACAGGTGGAAAGAGGGTGACTTCAGGCATGATGGCCCCACAAGGAGTGTGGGGTAGGTGGGCTTTGCAGAGGGTTGGTGGGAGAAGGCCTATTTGACATGAACACAGGAAGAAGCCCCTCTCTGCCCAAGCTGAAGAAAGAGGAATAAAGGCATGGGGTTTGCTGTTGCCTGGAGCAACAGGAAAAGCGGGGTATGGGTCCAGATGGGGCTCTGGGAACTCAGCAGGGGCCTTGCTGATCACGTGTGGACTTAGTTTGGAACTGGTGGTTTGGGATTTTAATTCTAAAGTAATGCGTTGAGGGGGTCGTTGGAGCAGAGACATGACATGTCTACCCTAAGCTTCAGAAAGGTTGGCTTCTGTGGGGTGTTGGTAAATTGGGTGGGGGCCAAGGACAGGATGGAGCTGCTGAGAGGACAAATGGGCTATCCCAGGACAGAAACAGACAGGGGAATGTGACCGAGTGCGTTCAGTACTTGGACCCTGCGCCAGTTCCACCGTGAAGAGCACCCGCTTTTGGAATCTGGCTGACCTGGAGGACGGTCGTCAGGCTGATCTAGGCTTACCAACCGGGTGACCTTGGGTAGGTGACTTCGCCTCCGCGCGCCTCAGTCTCCTCGTCTGAACGATGGGGTGACAATAGCGCCTACCTGCCCGGGGCTGCGGCTGCCATCGCGCCCGCGGGGCCCGGCCTGGCGCGGTGGGCGCCCGGCAGCCGCGGCGGCGGTGAGTAATTCGTTACTAAGAATAGTTAGCGCCCCTCTCCTGGCCTCGGTCCCCCGGCGGCCGCGCGCGGAAGGCGAGGCTGGACCCCCGGCCCGACGCCGGCTCGCACGCGGTCTCCCCGCCCCCCGGCCGAGCGCCCCTTCCCGGCCCCCGCCCCCACCCCCCGCTCACCTGGGCCGCGGCGGCCCGGGGATGTGCTCATAGCGGCTGCGAGCGCGATGCACGAAGGTGCAGCAGAGGCCGAAGGCGAGCAGGACGGCGCTACCGAGCAGCAGCAGCCCGGGGCTCATGGCTCCGGGTCGGGCCCGGCCGGGGTCGGCGCCGGGTGCCGAGGGGGCGGGAGGCCGCGAGCCGACTGGGCTGTCAGCGCCGAGCGCCGCCTCGGCCCCAGGCCCGGCGCTCGCCAGCACCGCCCCCGCCGCTCGGCTCCGCCCCCGCCGGCTCGAGCCCTCCCCCGAAGCGCGGACCCGCCAACCACGTCTCCGCCTCCAGCTCCGGTTCGCAGGGCCCGCCCCCGGCAGGCCACGCCCTCACACAAGCTCCGCCCTCACCACTACAACACCCCCGCCTAGACCCCTCCCAGATCAGGCAGTCTCCACAAATTATAACTTCGCTTCTGGCTTAGATCTCCGGGGCCCCGCCCATCTCTGACTCAAGCCCCGCCCTGACACCAGCCCCGCCCAGAACGCGTCGTCCCTGGCAACCCAGATTGCTCTGCGCGTGCAGCCCGGGCGGCTGCACAAAGTCCCGCCAGCTGGCTCCGCCCCTTTGGCGCCTCCAAATAACGGCGTCTCTGCGCGCGATCCCAGCCCCCTTCCTTCCTCGCTCAAACCTTTTGAACCCCCACTTCTGCTGTCGAGTTTCCGTGTTCCCCAGGGCTCCAAAGTCGGCTGCCCTCAGCGGGCGCCCCCTCCCCAGCCGGCCTGTCCGCGCCAAGCCGCTGTCAGGCGCCACGCGCCCCAGCGGCGGTGACCGGGACCCCGCGGGACGCAGCGGGGCCTGTCTGTGGGTGAGGACACGCCGGACCTCGAGGCTGCTCTCTGGGAGTCCGAGGCGCTGCTGGAGCCTCCGGGGCCCAGGGAAGCTCCGGTCCCGAGCACCTGTGGTTAGACTGGGCGAAATCTAGGTCGGAGGGACAGCCTCCGTGGAGGGCGGAACGTGGGTCCCGAGTGGCCGAAGGGTCATCGGGAACCGCGGCCGGCGTCTCCAATCCCCCCAGGGACCGAAGAGCCCAACTCGGGGCTTCTTGGTTCGCAACCCCAGGGCCCCTCCGTGACATGAATGATGAAGCTAGCCAGGTGTGCCCACGCCGCGACCAGATAAAGACCTTCCGGCCTGCGGAGGGCGCACTGGGCGTCAGGCGCGGCTGGATTTCTGACCCAGGCCGGTACCAGCAAGGTTTGGGGGTCGTTAAAACAGTAAACCAGTGTACTGCCCTTCACCAGAAACTCGGCAGTTAGGGGTGTAGGGGCTGTGAGGTGCCGGAGAGGGTCAAGCTTTAACAGCCGTGCCCGGCAGGGACATCGCAGAGGCTGGTCAGATCTGGACGCCAGTCGTCCATCGGTCCTGCACCAGGACTTGACCTCCGAGCTCCCAGTCGGGCTGAGGGACGTTGGGTTGCTCCTGCGCCCTCGTGTGGCAACAGAAAGCAGTCTCAGTGCGCTCAGGCGACTTCAGGTGGCTTTGGCTCTGGGTGAGGTGGTGGAGGACAGAAGCTGCCTATCAGATGGGGCTGTGAAACCAGGGTTTTGGGAGATTTTTAAAGGAGGACAAAGCTGCAAGAAAGAGGGAAGATTAGCTATTTTAGAAAAAGGGGGGGCTGGGAAGGTGGCTCAGTGGTAGAGTGCTTGCCTTGCATGCATGAGGCCCTGGGTTCGATTCCTCAGCACTACATAAGCAGAAAAAGCCGGAAGTGGTGCTGTGGCTCAGTGGTAGAGCGCTAGCCTTGAGCTGAAATGCTGAGGGACAGCGCCCAGGCCCAGAGTTCAGGCCCTACCCTGACAAAAGAAAAGAAAAGTGGCCATGTTTAGTAGCCAGTTTGTGGAACTACATCCTGGGATTATAACCTCTGGAAGCTGAGTGGAGGCAATTTTGGATTGTTTTGTCTGTTTCTTGGGGACAAGGCCAGATTCTGAATGGCTCTGATGACAGTCTGAAGCCCCACCTGAGACAGGCAAAGAGCAGTCTCAGGGTAGACTGCCTGGATGATGCTGTGCCCTGGCCCCAGGGCTATGAGAAGGGTGGCTGCGAATATTGTCTGGCACTGGCAGGTCACGCCAGAGACATCAGGCTTAGCACAACCATTTGTGTCCCCAAGGCCTCATCTACCCTGTCCTATTGCCCCTCTGACACTTCTGATTTTCCTGTGGGAGACACGGGCTGCATACCAAGGCTGACTGTGCTTTCTGTCTAGGAAAGGGCCCTCAGCCCTGTTCTCAGAAGGGCACTATGTGGAGACAGTGCCCAGTCATCTGGCACTTCCCTAGGCCCATCCAGACTAAACTGACCCAATATGGAAGTCAATGGCCACGTGTGGATATATGGCTAGTCCCAACTTGGAATGTACACACCAGATTTCATAAATACCCCCAAGAAGTTGTTCTAAAAGGTCGCCAAACAATAGGGTTAAATAAAACATACTACAAAACAACTTTCACCTGCTTTCACTTTTAAATGTGTCTATTGGAAAGATTTTAATTGCCTGTGTGGTCTGCAGACATCTATGCTGGAAAAGAAGTCCCAAAATTCAGTTCCCCAGACCTATTGAGTCAAAACTGAGGTGTAAGCAGCCCTTTAGATGATTCCCAGGCTAGCAAATAAGCTGCTATACTGGGAGCAGCCCTGGCAGCCACAGTCCATGGTTCCAACAAAGAAAGCTAGTGGACTACTCCAGTTCCCAACAGGAATTGTTGGGGAGGAGCAGAAGGGAGGCTCTGGAGCGACTGCCCTCACTTGGGCACAGCCTGGCAAGAGTCCAAGGAAGGAAGGGCTTTTGGTGCTGGGAAGGTGGGTCTTTGTTCACAGACTGCCTCCAAAGCCCTGGAGATCAGTTTATAACCACCCTGGGGATGGAGAAGAGAGACAGGGCGAAATCAGCCAGCCAGCACACCAGCAAGTGTTCATAAAAGCTAGCTCTTAGCAAGGCAGGGGCCCCAAGACACAGACCTGGGTTATCCATGTTGGCCTGAAGGGGCTCTCCTGCTTCCCATTCTGCAGATCTCTTTCCAGGTCATTCTGGTGCGACCCCTCCACAGAGTGTGTGCCTCCTCGCTGTGTCTTGCACAACTGGCAGCTGCCAGCATAGATGCCACCAGCCTGAAACTAACCTTTCTGTCCAGAAAGCCACCCGGAACATTCTGGGCATGTTTTCCAAGTTGCCTCATTCTTTTATAATGCCAATGAGGCTGTGAGAGCTTATGGGATAACCCTCAGGTTACCAAGCCAGAACTGGAGCTGGGTCTCGAGCCAACTCCAACCATTAAATGTCACCATCAAACATTTACAAGATTTCCCCAGGTACCGTGGGGGAACTGGAGTTGTCCACTAGCTTGCTTGGCTTGAACCATGGACTGACTATGGCTGCCAGGAACTAAGGAACAGGTAGCTGCTCAAGGCCCTGAACTACCTGAGGGCAGTGGTTGGGGACTTGTGATTTCTTGGGCTGGTGCTCCTGGAGGCAGAGCCACACCAAGGCCAACCAAGCTGAAGCTCTGGGCTGGGGGACCCAGAACTAAGTTGCAAAATGCTGGGCAGAGGCAGTTTCTCCCTGGGAATCCGACTCAGGCGAGGTTGGCTTGGTGAATGAATGGATTGGTAGGGAGAAAAGGGAGCTTTTGGGTCAGCCCAGGCACCAACCCCAGAGGGGTTGAACCTCACCAACCTCTTCTCTGGTCACCGAGATACGAGAAATCCAAGAGAGCAACAGGAGAAAAATCCTGAGAGGTCTTATAAAAAGTGCTGGGAGCTGAAGAGGGAGGAGGTGGAGGAAGAAAATCAATGAACAAATACAGGCATGTAAGTGGCTAGTATGACTTTCTAGATCCCCATTTACCAAGCATCAGAGAAATGAATGACTCATTTCTCAACCGTTAGCCTCCAACAATCCTCAAGCCCCAAGCATGTCTGCTTTCTCGACTCTCCACCAAGCCCAAACATCTCATCTGGGTAATGTCACCCTTTGCATGCACACCAGTATTGATGACCTGAGCCTCACTCCTCCAACTGCACAGTGCCCCCTCCCACATCTCAGGTACAGAAATCCTGGGCTCCAACTTCCACTCTACTTTGCTGTGATAGCTGCATAGCTTCACCCTGAACCTCACCCTTTCCCTTCTCTTTCATTTCTACAAATGCTCAATAAACCCTTCTATGTCAGAGAACCTTGAACCACTTCCTCTGCCCAGCACATGGCCAGTCCTGCCATGAGCTGGCTCAACTCAGACCCCCAGACCCCCTGCCCAGGTCATGCCCTGTCTTCAAGATGTGTGAGTCAGGTGAGTCATCTGCCCCCATGCCCCTGCTCCGGAGGCTGAGCCCAGCTGTCCCGAGCTCCCAGGTACCTGGTCAGGCTGGGGACCTCAGTGACCAGGGGAACTTCTTCCTCACGGACAGGAAAGAGGTTGCAGGCCTGTCCCCTGCTCCCTCACCCCAAGTCCCACTTACACATGGGGGTGATTGTAAACAGTCTCTTTGTTGACACAGCCTTGGTGACAGAGTCAACCCCTGGGTAGGACTAGAGGTGTCAGAGAATCCCCTGAGATTTCCCAGCAGGGTAGGGATGGAGATGACAAAGATCTGGACACAGCCTTGCGAGTGGAGGAGTCCCCTGCCCCCGTGCTGAGCCCGCATCCCTGGCAGGGCACAGTGAGCTTCCATCCCAGGGGCAAGAGAGGCTGCAGAGGTGGAGGAGGCTGAATTACTTCCCCAGGGTCCTTGGTCTGGGCTTGGTGTGACGATGGAGTCTGGCTGAGCAGGAGGCTTGCCAACACAAGGCTTCGGAGTCCCCCTGGTCCTTCCTCACTGCTGATGGCTGCCCACACTCTCCCAGGCAGCCTGACCTTCTGGTGGGCAGCCATGGTCCCGGCGTACCCCAGACCTGTCCATGGGAGGGGTTCTCCTTGTCTGGCAGACTGCCTTCCTGTTTTCCAGTGGCTCCGTCTGTGTACCACAGTTAGTGGTCTTTGGGGCCCAGTCTTCGGGTCATGCTTGAGCTGGTCTGGGCAGGGCAGGCCTGGCCTCCAGACCTCCTCAGTTGCACCAGGGATCCTATCTGCTTCTGGAGGGAGGCTGCCCTCTCCCCTCGGAGTGCCATGATGGAGTGTGTTCCTGGGCCAGCTGGAGGGTGTGCCACACACAGTGACCACGCTGGCCTGGCACACTTCTGCTGTCAGGTCTACAGAAGACACACGGGGAGAGGCACGGGTGCAGCAGGACCGCTCGCTCCGCAGATCTAGGACAGGCTCCGAGCACCTCCACCAGGTGACCCACACGCAGCACCATGGCCCAGCCGAGCAGCCCAGGCTTTGCCTACAAGTCCGGGTCTTTGTGGCTGCACACGACGCCTGCGTCCTCCTGGTGCCCGCAGTTGTGCGTGCCCACGCCGGCGTGCGCGCACTCCAGCAGGCTGCGCTCGTCGCCGGTGCACCGCACGTCGTCCAGCAGGATGGGCAGCGCGCGGCCCTCGCCAAACTCGGCGCGTTTGGCGGCTCGCACCGCGTGGGCAAAGCCCAGCTGGCGACACACGACCGCAGCGGCCTTGGTGTCCCACGCATCGTCGCACACCGTGCCCCAGCGCCCACCCGCGAACACCTCCACGCGGCCCGGCCGGCGCTCAGCCCTGCGGGCCGCACCAGGCGCACGGCCCCGTGGGAGGGCGGCGGCACCGCGGTGCTGGGCCGGCCCCGCCGCCGTCCACTGCCCCTGCGGGACCCTGGCCGCCGCGTGGGCCGGGCAGGCCTCGAGGTGGGCACCAGGGGAGGGGCCGTGGGGCGTCTGCGACGGGGTGCCTTGGTGGGCGTGCGTGCTGTGGGTCGTGGGGTACTCTCCGGGGTCCGAATGAACTCTGCGCACAGGAAAAGCATGTGGTCAGGGGGACCCCGCTGCCCCACCTCGGTGCACCTTCCCTCCACGCTGCCCTTCAGTGTCTTGGTGCCCTTGGTCTGTACCCACTCCTCCCTCCTCACCCATCCCCTCTAACTGGAACCCTCCTGGGAAAAGTCTGGACACCCTCTTTCCATCCCTCCCACCAACTTGGCACAGCTAAGTCCTTCCCTTCTGTGCCCTGCTTGAATCCTGCCCCTTGCGGTCACCTGCCCACTCCTGGAACCTGGTTTAAGGAATTGTGACCAGTCCAGCAAGACCCTTTTTTTGGGGGGGAGTGATCAGTCGTGGGGCTTGAAGTCTGGATCTGGGCGCTGTCCCTCAGCTCTTCAGTTTAAGGCGAGAGCTCTACCACTTGGCCACTGCGCCACTTCCAGTTTTCTGGTGATTTATTGGAGATAAGAGTCTCACAGACTTTCCTGCCTGGGCTGGCATTGAACCATGATCCTCAGATCTCAGCCTCCTGAGTAGTTAGGATGACAGGTGTGAGCCACTGGAACCTGGCAAGACCCACTTTTATTACAGGTCTGCCTCTTAATTCCGTGTCTGGTGAGTGCCAAGCATGGCCTAGGAATAGAGGCCCAGGAAAGGCATCTAGTGGTATGGAGCCCTGGTAGAGACAGAGGGCCAGCAAGATGCCTCAGGCAGGAGTCCCTCTCTCCCCCACCCCCACACAGACCCCAAGGTGGCCACTTACTTTCTTTGGGCACAAAAGGGATGAGGTGGCTCCTCACCTTCACCTGGGCAGGGTGGATCTGACACTTGCCCGGGGGTGCCCGTCTGCCAACGACACGGAAATCATGAGTTCTGCCCCAGAAGCCTGTCCCGAGGATCTCCCCATATACCTGCCCTGCCTCAGTAGAAAGGAGGACAGGCTCAGCAGGTGTGGACAGGAGCAAAAGAAACAGGTGCCCACGGCTGGGAAGGTGGTTAAATGGTAGAGTGCTTGCCTAGCATGCATGAAGCTCTGGGTTCGATTCCTCCATACCACATACACAGAAAACGCTGGAAGTGGTGCTGTGGCTCAAGTGGTAGAATGCTAGCCTTGAGCAAAAGAAGCTCAGGGACAGTGCCCAGGCCCTGAGTTCAAGCCCCAGGACTAGCAAAAGAAACGAAACAGGTGCCCTGCTGCCATGCACCTCAGCATCCCTGCCCACTGCATGGCCCCTGGATTCTCAGAGCCAGCCCCAGGAACCACAGGCCCCACGGCAGCCAACTGGGTACTTGCTTGGCCTCTACCTGCTGATGACTGGAGGCTCACTCTCCCAACAGCCTTTGGATGGGGTGTGTGAACTGCATTCTCCATGAGACAGAGTCTTTTTTTTTTTTTAACTGGGAATGGCAAGACGAGCTTAGGGACAAAGTGAGTGGGGGAAGGGACAGTGGGAAGCCAGACGGGCGGTGAGGGGCCTGGGGCTTTGAGAACTAGGAGAAAGGCCTGAGAAGGGTTGCCAGGCTGTGAGCTGGCTCCTTTACCATGTTCCTGTGCCAGGGGCACGAGGAAGGAATGGAATCCCATTCTGATTAGTTTTTGGCTGCTGATCTGTGATACTCTGAATGAGACCGACCCTGTTCCCAGACTGCCCCAGGCAGACCCAGGGCTTCAAGAGGCATTCCCAGTACAGGGTAGAAACAGCCACATGACGCAGACTGGCCTTCAGAAAGGCCTGGAGGAGGAGGAGGGACACAGACTGCCCTATGCTTTCAAAGCTAGAGATGGGAAGTGAGGGGGATGGGGAAGGGAGACTCCCTGCTCTGACCCTTACTGAAATCCATGCCTTTCACATCGGCCCCAAGTTCCTGAAGGAACTCATAGGTGAAAAAGAAAACGTTGAGCTGAGCACCGGTGGCTCACGCCTGTAATCCTAGCTACTCAGGAGTCTGAGTCTGAGGATCATGGTTCAAATCCAGCCCGAGTAGGAACATCTGTGAGACTCTTACCTCCAAAGAACCACCAGAAAACTGGAGTGTGGCTGTGGCTCAAGTGGTAGAGCGCTAGCCTTGAGCTGAAGAGCTGGGGGACAGTGCCCAGGCCCAGAGTTCAAGCCCCACAACCGACCAAAAAAAAAAAATGGAAGTGACACTGTGGCTCAAGTGGTAGAGTGCTAGCCTTGAGCTGATGAGCTTAGAGACAGAGCCTAGGCTCAGAGTTCAAGTCCCACAACCAACAACAACAAAAAAAAGGAAAACTCTGTATGCAAAAGAGGAGGAGGGATGTTAGATGATGGATGGATGGATAGATAGATAGAAAGATAGATAGACAGAAAGGTAGATAGTGGACCCAGGTGTTCTGGTGAGACATTGAGGGGTGACATGACCTCTTCTCCTTCTCCTTCCATTCATTTTCCAAACCTTCTTGGCCTCCAGGACATCTGGGTGGATATCAAAAAGTGTATTTATTCCAAAACGCAAAAAACAAAAGAGAGGAGGGCCAAGGGGTGACGGAAGAATCCAGCCCATTTCTGACCTGAAGTAGGAGAACCCCAAGTGTCACTGGGGTGACGTCATCCCACAGGGACAGCCAGCCAAGGGAGGAAGAGGAAGTCAAAAGCACAAAGGCAGCGCAGCAGAGGTGGCCTCGGGGAGTTACACACTGCAGCTATGGCCTGCTTCCCCAGAGAATCATTCTTTAAAAAACAATGGTAGGGCTGGGAAGGTGCTCAGTGGTAGAGCGCTTGCCTTGCATGCCTGAGGCCCTGGGTTCCATTCCTCAGCACCACATAAGCAAAAAAGAAAAAAGCCGGAAGTGGCGCTGTGGCTCAAGTGGTAGAGTGCTAGCCTTGAGCTGAAGAGCTGAGGGACAGGCCCAGGCCCAGAGTTCAGGCCCCACGACTAGACCTCCCCCCCCCAAAAATGGTAATAACTTCAAACTGTAAGGAAGAGGGAAGATAGTTTTGGCTCAGTGACTCAGCAGAAAATGACCAGCCCTAAAAACCACCTCCTTGTAAGAGCTGCAACATGGAAACATTTACACAAAATGAGGACAGATGAATAAGAAAGAAAGCAAAGTCTGCGTGTGGTCAGAAACAAGGTCATAACTTCCAGCACCACGCAGCGGAAGACGGATGGAAGCTCAGGGAACCAGGACAGAGGGATGGGAGGAGGGGAGGCTTATGGTTTTTATGATACAAAGACAAAGTCAGGTGGTTGATTAATGTGTATTTTTGTATGTAATAATGATTTTTTGAATTAAATAAAAGAGGGGGCTGGGAAGGTGGCTCAGTGGTAGAGTGCTTGCCTTGCATGCATGAGGCCCTGGGTTTGATTCCTCACCACCACATAATCAGAAAAAGCCCGAAGTGTTGCTGTGGCTCAAAGGGTAGAACACTAGCCTTGAGCTGAAGAGTGGACAGCGCCCAGGCCGAGTTCAGGCCCCACCACCAACAAAAAAAAAAGTACCAGGTGCTTGTACCTTTAATCTACCTACTGAGGAAGCTGAGATCCAGGGGATCACAGTTCAAAAGCAGCCTGGGCAGAACAGTTTGTGACTCTTATCTCCTAAAAGCAAAGCTGGGGGTGTGACTCAAGTAGTAGAGTATCAGGTCAGCAAGAAAAATGAGCAAGTATGAGGACCTGAGTTCAAACCTGGCTACTGGCAAAACACACATTGGAGCAGAGCTATGGTCAAATGATAGAACACAATAAGTAGTATACGTCTGAGACAAGCAGAAAAGGTCAGATAAGTTGATGTCAGGTGAAATGAACCCCAGGATAAGTATTCAAATGTTTTTTTTTCTTGTGATTGTTTCTAACACATTTATAAGATGATTTCTTTGTTGCTTTGTATGTCCCTCCCCCACGGTATAACGCCTGCTTTCACTGTATTTGATGTTGGTATAATTTGTGGAGGGGAAGGGCAAAAACAAACCGTTTAAATAGGGATACAAGTGGAGCCATTGAAACAATGAGATGTACAAGTCAAAAAACGCACTTCACAACTTTGGCTATGTGGGGGGGGGAGGGAAGGGAGGAGGGGGAACGGGGAAGGGAAGGGATGGGAGGAGGAAACAGAGGAGGCAACAATGCTTGATAAGAAATGTACTCATTACCTTGCCCATGTAATTGTAACCCCTCTGTACGGTATTTTCACAATAAAAAAAATTTTTTTTTAAATGATAGAACACCAGCCTTGAAAAAAAAAAAAACAAGCAAGAGTCAAGGTCCTGAATCTAAGCCCCAGTTCTAGTACAGGAAGTAATACACAGCCAGGCACCGGTGGCTCACACCTGTAATCCTAGCTACTAAGGAAGCTGAGATCTGAGGCTTGTGGTATGAAGTCAGTCTGGGCAAGAAGGTCCATAAGACTCTCATCTCCAATAAAAAGACTGGAAGTGGCACTGTGGCTCGAGTGGTAGCGCGCTAATGTTGAACAGAAGAAGCTCAGGGATAGACCAGGTTCAAGCCAGGATAAGCCAAAACAAAAACAAAAAAACAAAAACCCACACACATATACCATCAACACCATCACCACGAACACCACTACCACCACACACACACCACCACCACCAACCCATACACCAACACTGCAACCACAACCAATACCACCATCAACAACACATATTCCACAATAATAATAATAAATAACAATAATAAAAATAGTGTGGTAAATAGAAAAATTTGAGAAGTTGTCATGCACTGGAGGGCCACAGAGACAAGATGACAAAATAATAGCAAAAGAATATGGATGAAGAACAAGTTAAAAAAAAACTTTGGGGGGGATGGGGGATGCGGGGTGCGGGGGGAGATGGGAAGAGATGGGAAGGGGAAACAAAGGAGGAGGCAACAATGCTTGATAAGAAATGTACTCATGGGTTGGGAAGGTGGCTCAGTGGTAGAGTGCTTGCTCTGCATGCCTGAGGCCCTGGGTTCCATTCCTCAGTACCACATAAGCAAAAAAGAAAAAAGCCCGAAGTGGTGCTGTGGCTCAAGTGGTAGAGCGCTAGCCTTGAGCTGAAGAGCTGAGGGACAGCACCCAGGCCCAGAGTTCAGGCCCCACGACCGGACCCAAAAAAAAAAAAAAAGAAACGTACTCATTATCTTGCCCGTGTAATTGTAACCCCTCTGTACAGTATTTTCACAGTTAAAAAAAAAAATTTTAAAAAACTAGGATTTAGCTAATACTAATGTGCCAATATTGGGTCATTAGTTGTGTCAAATGTTTCCTGATCATATAATATGTAGTATAAGAGCACCTGGCCCTGAGTTCATGCTCTATTACTAGCACTGAGAATGAGAGTGAGAGACAGAGACAGAGAGACAATAGGTGTTTGGGGAATTGCTAAGCCTATCTCAGCGTTCAGGGTCACTGGACTCAAGTGGGTGGAGCTCTTATGGGGGGTTCTGTCCAACATCAGCCATTCTTTTTTTCTTTTCTTTTCTTTTTTTCTTTCTTTCTTTTTTTTTTTTTTGTCGGTCGTGGGGCTTGAACTCTGGGCCTAGGTGCTGTCCCTATGCTCTTCAGCTCAAAGCAAGCACTCTACAACTTGAACCACAGCACCACTTCTGGTTTTCTGGTGGTTTGTTGGAGATAAGAGTCTCATGGACTTTCCTGCCCAGGCTGGCTTTGAACCATGGATCCTCAGATCTCAGCCTCCTGAGTATCTAGGATTACAGGCGTGAGCTATCGGCGCCTGGCTTTCATCAGCCCATTCCCACAATACAACCTCAGGCTTGGTGCTGGGGTGAGCACTACCCTTCCTGGTCCAAGGGTGAAACAGATTGACCAGGAGCCATTATTCTAGTGGCTGAGAAGGAGCTCTAGAAAGACAATCATGGGCCCATTCATCAGACACTCCAAGTCTGTGCTCCAGGCCCTCCCAGGGCCTAAGCGAATGCTAGAGCTACCGAGCGTAGCCTGAGCTCTGCAGATTCCCAGCAGGTGAGAGGCGTCCTGCAGCTGGACATTTCAAAACCCAGAGAGGAGGAGATAGCCAGAGGAACATGGGGAAGATGCCTGGGGGGAGTGGACCCAAGGCACAGAGGGCACAGCACCAGGGGTTTGGGGCCAGGCTCTGGTGCTGGGGCCCTGGGGCAGGCCTTCAGACCATTTCTGTCCTATAAAATGGGACAGAACCATACGTTAACCAATAAGTTACACATGTAAGTCAGAGCATGGCGGGTCCCCCCAGGGGCGGCCTTCTACCTAGAAGTATGCCAGGTATTGGTGGCTCACTCCTATAATCAGGAGGCTGAGATCTGAGGATCCTGGTTCAAAGCCAGCCCAGGCAGAAAAGTCCATGAAACTCTTATTTCTAGTGAATCACCAGAAAAGCCAGAAGTGGAACTGTGGCTCAAGTAATCAAGCTCTTGCCTTTAGTTTAAAAAAAAAAAAAAAAAAGCTAAGGGACAGTGCCCAGGCCCTGAGGTCAAGCTCCAGTACTTTCACAAGAAAAAAAAAAACTAAATAAAGTAGCGGTAGACTAAGATGCAGTGCAGTGGGTGGAAAAGGCTTTCCAAGGCCTTGCAGGTTCTAGCAGGTAGCCACACGGAGATCAAAGTGACAAGCAGGTAGGAAGACACAGGAGAGTGTGGGAAGGACATGACTTCTCTGTGTTCATAGGCCCCAATGGGAGTCGCCAATTCAACCCTAGCTGGAGAGAGCTGTTAGGGGGGTGGGTAGGCCCCGTTTTAGGTGCTGGGTCTGCCCCCTCTCCAGTGGGGTGAGCTTCCTTAGCCACTTCTCTCTGGGCCTTTGTTTCCTCATCTGAAAAATGGGGTGTTGGGGTGTGGAGAGGGTGGGTGATGTCACAGAGGCGCGCTCTCTTGGAAGACTGTAGAAGCTCAGCCAGTGCCCAGCGCAGACACTCACCTGGACGGGTCGATGACCTTGTAGATGACCCCTCGTGCGGCCGTGGCGCTTGGCACGCCGGTGGACATGAAGTACAGCTCCCCTGTGAATAGTCAACGGGATAACAGGTGAGAGGGCTGCCTGCAAGAGGATCAGGGCCAGCCCTGCCGCCCCAGCGCCTCCCTTCCCATTCCCCTCTGCCCGCCCTGAGAGGTGCGTCCCAGGGCAGCCCAGCCATCCAGTCCCCAGAACTGGACCTGGAGGATGGGAGAGGCAGCCACGTGCAAGCAAGCAGCCAGGCTGTCAGTCTCTCCGCCTGGCCTCATTCAACCTCCACGCTCCACCCTTGCTCCCTGTCTGGATTCATGCTTAGCACCTCACCCTTCTGGGTAGAAATGGGGTCCAGGGCCCAGCTCCTGGTAACCTACAGACACAGGTGGCATGCTGAGCCTCAACTTCCCTTTTTTGTTTTGTCGGCTGTGGGGCCTGAACTCTGGGCCTGGGTGCTGTCCCTCAGCTCTTCAGCTCAAGGCTAGTGCTCAACCACTTGAGCCATAGCACCACTTCCTGCTTTTTCGGCTTATGTGGTGCTGAAGAATCGAACCCAGGGCCTCATGCATGCAAGGCAAGCACTCTACCACTGAGCTACCTTCCCAGCCCCCAGCTTCCTTGTTTTTAACAGGTATGCCTCACAGGATGGAGGAGGCCAAGAGCGTCATGACTGTTAATTATTATCACTCTGATTGCAACCCAGGCCAGGTCCTGTCAGCCTCTCAAGGCCAAGGTCTCTCCACTAACCAAGGGGCGCCTCTCAGGCAGGGGCAGAAAGCACTTGGCAGGAGTCTAATCTGAAGCTCGTGCCTTTCATTGGCCTGCAGGACTTCCAGCAGCTCTGCAATGGTGCTATTCAGGAACTTTTCTACCCCTGGTCAGGCCCGTGGTAAAAAAGTAGTGATGTGATAACGATGCACCAGTGGCTCACCCTATAATCCCAGCTACTCAGGAGGCTGAGATCTGAGGAGCACGGTTCAAAGCCAACCTGGGGAAGTGGTGCTGTGGCTCAAGCGGTAGAGCGTTTGCCTTGAGCTGAATAGCACAGGGATAGCGCCCATTCAGAGTTCAAGCCCCACAACCAACCAAAAACAAAAAAGCCAACCTGGGCAGGAAAGTCTGTGAGACTCTTATCTCTGATTAACTACCAAAAAGCCAGAAGTGGAGTTATGGTTCAAGTGGTAGAGTCTTGAACACAAAAGCTCAGGAACAGTGCCCAGGCCCTGAGTTCAAGCCCTACAACGCGCGCGCGCACACACACACACACACACACAAAGTAGTGCCATGAGTTTGAGCACCTGGAGGGGGTCATGTCCCCCTCATGCTACACAGAGTCTTAACTACACAGTACCAGGATTCTATGTCACCCTACATGGCCCCACTTAATTACCAATTGCTTATTCCCAGAAGACATACTTCAGTATGCCATTATACAAATGAAAAAAGACAGGTTCAGAGAGGCTAAAAGATTTGTTCAGCCAGGCGCTGGTGGCTCACGCCTGTAATCCTAGCTACTCAGGAGGCTGAGATCTGAGGATCGCGGTTCAAAGCCAGCCTGGGCAGGAGAGACCATGAGACTCCTATCTCCAATAAACCACCAGAAAACCGGAAGTGGTGCTGTAGTTCAAGTGGTAGAGCGCTTGCCTTGAGCTGAAGAGCTGAGGGACAGCGCCCAGGCCCAGAGTTCAAGTCCCACGACCGACCAAAAAAAACAAAAAACAAAAAAAAAAGATTTGTTCAAAGTCATACAGCTAGTGAATAGTTAAGCCAAGGTCAGAACTCAACCAAGTCAACTGCCTCAAGATCAAACCAGCATCCAATGGGGCCTGGGAGCCCAGACACAAGCCACACGCAGCTTGCTGTCACGATTCAGCCAAACTACAACCTCTGTCTTTGTAATAGGGTAGCAGAAGGCCCCCTCCCAGGGCTGGGCAGAGGGGAGGAGGAGCTCCCCAAGGAGAGGCTGATGCAGGGGGTAGGAACTTGGAGGAAAGCATGTCCCCAAAGACATCTACAACCCAGGGGGCTGCCTGGAGATGGCACAGGAAGCAAAGGACAGGAAACTGGACTGGGTCAGTTCCCCAGAGAGAAAGACTAAAAGGCTACCTTGCATCAATGGGAAGTGCCAGCCGGCTGAGTGGCATGTGGAACCTAAGCCCCACCCCCAGCAGGAACACTAAGCCTGCTGGGGGAGAAGGAAGAAGGGGTGCAGGTTACCAGGGAGATGACAGCCTGAAGAGTGGGCTGCCCGGGCACCATATCTGTCAGTGCTATGGATTTCCTGTGCATCTGCAGACTAACCACCTCCCTCTCCGGCCTCTTTTGGGGAGAGAACCCAGGAGCAGCCTGTTTCCTCTGGCTGGGCAGTTGTCACATTGACACTCCAGTCTCTGGAGCCTGGGCCCTCTGCTTGCTGCTGCTTTGGGCTGAACATCTTTCTCCATGTCATCACTTGGTTGGCTAACCTTGAGGTTCTGCTCTGGACACAGTGCTCCACCCTCAACACCAGGTGTCAATAGGCAGCCTCAGTTTCCCCAAATGTAAGGTGAGAGGGCTGGAGGGACCAGCCTGACTCCAGGGCTCCTGGCAGCCCTGATCTGCTGGGAACTTGACCCCAGTCCCCTGTGTGCACAGGGTCCTGGTTGGCCCTGCCCAGGCCCTGTAGGGTGCACTGCAGTGTGGGTCTCTGTGAGCGTAGATGGGGCTGGAGGACGCTGGGCCAAGCACAGCGCCTGGTTCTTCCGTTTGCAAGTGTCAGAAGAAACTAGAGGGCTGGGAGCTGGGAGAGGCTGGTGTGCCTGGGCCCCAGCGTTGGTGCCTTCCAGGCGGGGCCACTGTGTCCCATGGCCTGGCCAGCTCACAGGTGCCTCCCTCCTGGTTTTCTGTTACCCAGTGGCACTGGGAATTTTGTTCCAGGCCCTACATCTGGGGCTGGGGAGTGGCTGCTTCCAAAACACGTTCACCCCCTACAGACCAAGAGAAAGGATTTTCCAAGGCTGTAATAGCTCTGGGAGGACAGTGGGGCTGGAGCTGCCCTTTTGGAAATTCAGATTCAGATGAGATCAGGGTGGGGAATGGCTCAAGGAAAGTTTCCCAGACTCTGGGCCCTGGGGGCTCTGGGCACGGGGCCCCGCAGGGGATACCTTCCAGAGGCGGTGGAGGGGAGGGGGAGGGAGGCGTTGCCTAGAGACTCTGCCAAGCATCCGCCAGGGCCTGCTGGGGGCCCCTCCGCTTTTGTCATGGAACAATCCCAGGCCCAGGACAAAGGAGGAGGCTGGAAGAGCATCCATCCCCTCTTCCTCTCCCCTCCCGCCTCTGTTCTCTGAAGAACAGAAAGGGCAAGAGGCTGGATGTAGGGCTCACTGATATAGAAGGTGCTGTCCACCTGCCTTGAGGTGACAATGTGGCTTTTCCCAAGTGACCCAAATAAATCTGCCACCAAGAACCTCCCATCCCACCCGACCTCTGGAAGGTGGAGGTGTCTGGGAAGTGTCCTTCTCTTCCTGCCTGCCAGTCAGCTCTCCAGATCTTCCCTCCTGCTCTTGTTAATATTACATGTGCTTTTTCTGCTCTCATCTTTTTCTGTATGCCCACAGTGGAGGGGAGGGGTGGAGGGGACATCCCTCATTTTCTAGAGGAGGAAGGGGAGGCTCAGAAAAACCAGGGCGTACCCAAAGGAGTGCACTCAAGGTCTCAGAACAATCCCCTCCCCTTCCTGGCCCTCCCCAGGGGAAAGGTCATTTCAAGCCTGAGATCTCAACCAAGTCAGAAGCAGGATTCCAGGTAGATAGAAGATTAGAGGACTACTCCAGCATGGGCAGCCAGAATGGAGAGGGCCTAAGGAACACTCACCAGCCTCATCCTCTGCAAAGGAGATGATGTGAGGGTAGTAGTTGTTGATGAGACCTGGGAATGCACAGGTCTGGCCACGGCCCATGCAGAGCTCATTGTACTGCCACTGACCCGTCCCTGGGGTCTCTCGGAGGGACATCAGACGCCTGGGACAAAAAACAATGTCATGCTGAGTATGGTACACAAGCCAGCCCAACCCCAAATCTATCCATCTACCCATTGTTCACCCGACCTACCTATGTACTCATCTACCTATCAATCCACCATCCATCCACCCACACACACACCCAGCCATCATACATCCATTCATGCATCCCTCTACTCATTCATCCATCTGCCCATCCATCCGTGAATCCACTGATCCTCCATTCACCCATCCATCCACCCACTCAACCGTCCAGCCATCCACCTACCCACCCCCTCACATCCATCCATCATCCTTTCTTCTACACATCTCATCCATGCAACCTGGACCACATGTAATTTTTAGGGTCCAGTGCAAAATGAGCATGCAGAGTCCCTTGTCCAAAATTTCTTAAGTATTTCAGAAGGGCAATGAAAGCATCAAGCCAAGTGTGAGCCTTTTCATGGGGCCATGAAGCCGGTTCTGGGATGATCTTTACTGAGCATTTCCCAGACAGACACAGGGATGAAGGAGCCCAGCTGGCTCCTGGCCCCTCGGCTCAGTCCAGCCCTCTGGCTAGCAGGAGGCCCAGTGCTGTTGAGGTTTGACCTCAGCACAGAGCACAGGGTGGAACCCAGGACTGTGCTCATTCTTGGAGCTGCCTACATTTGAGATTGGGATGTGCAACTTGGGCACCTTTCACGCTTCTTAGTAGTGTTCCTCCTAGCTGGGCGCCGGTGGCTCACGCCTGTCATCCTAGCGACTCAGGAGGCTGAGATCTGAGGATCGCAGTTCAAAGCCAGCCCGGGCAGGAAAGTCAGTGAGACACTTATCTCCAATAAACCACCAGAAAACCAGAAGTGGTGCTGTGGCTCAAGCGGTAGAGCGCTCGCCTTGAGCTGAAGAGCACAGGGACAGCGCCCAGGCCCAGAGTTCAAGCCCCATGACTGACCAAAAAAAAACTAGTGCTCCTCCTCCCTCCTCTGCTTGTCAAGGAAGTCCTGCTCCAACTTCACCTGCCTTCCCTGTTCCTTGGAATGATGGAACAGTGAGATGACCTTAAGTCTAGTCATAATCTTGAGAGAATGGAGCCAACTCACAACTGGCTCAGAAGGAGGAATTTCATCCCTCTCCTCTAACACCAGACTGGCTATGACTCACATGCACAGGCACACGTGCATGCACACCGTAGACAGGGATCTCAGTGGCTGGGGTGGCACTGACCTGGAAATTAGGAGCTGAGTAGCAAGGCTTCTGAGGCCACTATGATCAGGCCTATGATCAGCAACCCTAGCCAGCTCCCTGTCTGCAGCAGGGTGCCCTTGTAAGAGGCAACTCAAAAGATGCTTTGGAGCCAGGCACCAGTGGCTCATGCCTGTAATCCTAGTTATCCAGGGGGCTGAGGATCACCGTTCAAAGCCAGCCGAAGCAGGAAAGTCTATGAGACTCTTATCTCCAATTAACACCAGAAAACCAGAAGTGGCACTGTGGCTCAAGTGGTAGAGCATTAGCCTTGAGCTGAAGAGCTGAGGGACAGCGCCCAGGCCCCGAGTTCAGGCCCACGACTGAACCCAAAAAAAAACAAGACTATCCATTTGTTGTCTCTCAGAGATCCACCTCACAGTTAAAGTTAAAAACAAATTCAGAGTGAAGGGATGTAAAAAGATTTTTCATGAAAATCCATACTTCAGGAAAGCAGGAATAGCCATATTGATATCTGATAAAAATAGATTTTTTTTTCCATTAAAATCAGTACAAAGAAGCTGGGCAAGCCGGGCGCTGGTGGCTCACGCCTGTAATCCTAGCTACTCAGGAGGCTGAGATCTGAGGATCGCGGTTCAAAGCCAGCCCAGGCAGGAGAGACCATGAGACTCCTATCACCAATAAACCACCAGAAAACCGGAAGTGGCGCTGTAGCTCAAGTGGTAGAGCACTCGCCTTGAGCTGAAGAGCTGAGGGACAGCGCCCAGACGCAGAGTTCAAGCCCCACGACCAACAAAAAAAAAAAAGGGCTGGGAAGGTGGCTCAGTGGTAGAGCGCTTGCCTTGCATGCCTGAGGCCCTGGGTTCGATTCCTCAGCACCACATAAGCAAAAAGAAAAAAGCTGGAAGTGGCACTGTGGCTCAAGTGGTAGAGTGCTAGCCTCGAGCTGAAGAGCTGAGGGACAGCGCCCAGGCCCAGAGTTCAGGCCCCACGACCAGACCCAAAAAAAAAAATAAAAAAATAAAAATAAATAAATAAAAAAAGAAGCTGGGCACTGGTGGCTCATGCCTGTAATCCTAGCTATTCAGGAGGCTGAGATCTGAGGATCGCAGTTCAAAGCCAGCCCGGACAGGAAAGACTGTGAGACTCCTATTCCAATAAACCACTAGAAAACCAGAAGTGGTGCTGTGGCTCAAGTGGTAGAGCGCTTGCCTTGAGCCGAAGAACTGAGGGACAGTGCCCAGGCCCAGAGTTCAAGCCCCGTGACCGACCAAAAAAACAAAAACAAAATAAAATCAGTACAAAGAGACCAAGAAGGTCATTTCATAGTAATAAAGAGAATGATCCATGAAGAGGAAATTACAGTGGTCAATATCTATGCACTAAGCAATGGAGAAGCTAACTAGGTGAAACAAACACTTCTGAACTTACAGAACAGGAGAGACCCCAGCACAGTAACAGTGGGAAATTTTAACATGTCACTCTCACCAAAGGACAGGTCAACCAAACAACAGATAAGCCAAGTCTCTGAATCAAATGACACTATAACCCAAATGGACTTAACAGATAGCAACAGAATATTCCACGCAACAGCCACCCAGGTCACATTCTTCTCAGCAGCCTACAGAACATTCTCAAAAATTGATCATATCATAGTACACACAAAGAACCTAGACAAATACAAGAAGATGGAGTTGAATCCTTATGTCCTGTCTGACAACAGCAGACTCAAACTACTTCTCAACAACAAGACATATTGCAGAAAACACTGAAACACATGGACCCTGAATAACACACTACTGAATAACACCTGGGTCATGGAAGAAATTGGAAAGTTCTTACAATTCAATGAAAATGAAAGCATATCACAAATGGAATCTCTGGGATTCAGCAAAAGCAGTGCTAAGGGGAAAGTTTATAGCTCTAAGTGTACACATTAAAAAAAAAAAATAGAAGCAGGCTTAGGAATGTGGCTTTGTGGTAGAGCGCTAGTCTAGCTTGCATGAAGCCCTGGGTTCCATTCCTCAGTACCGCATACACAGAACAGGCCAGAAGTGGCACTGTGGCTCAATGGTAGAGTGGTAGCCTTGAGCAAAAAGAACAGTGCCCAGGCCCTGAGTTCAAGCCCTAGGACTGGGAGAGAGAAAGGGGGGAGGGACAAAAAACAGACACAGCTCAAGTAAATAATCTCATGATGCAACTAAAACTGCTAGAAAAACAAGAACAAACCAAGCCCCAAACTACTAGAGAGAGAGAGAGAGAGAGAGAGAGAGAGTAAAAGTTAGGGCAGAAATCAATAAAATAGAGACTAAAAAACTATATATAAAATAAATAAAACAAAAAGCTGTCTTTTTGTAAAAGTAAAATTGACAGACCACCAGAGATTGATGAAGAGATGAGATTCAGATCAATAAAATCAGAGTTGCCACAGGAAACAAAGATCCAAGAAATTCAAATGAAGGAAAACCTAGCAGAAATGGGCAAACTTCTAGAGAGATACCAAGTGACCAGGGCCCTCTAGCTCTGTCTGCTGCCAGCTGGTGTAATGGCGAGGTCCTGGACCTCTGAGGAGCCCTGGGTGGAGAGAAAACCATCCATGTTCTGATCCTGCTCATCAACATAGCTTGCCAGCCCAGCTGGGATGTGGGGGAGGACACCAGGGGCCTGTCCTTAGGGAATTCTTCACCTGGGATTGCCAGAGACTGCCAGCAAGGCTCGGAAGGCTGGAGTGAGGTGTCAGGTGCCCCTAAGACTTTTTTTGTTTTTGGTCAGTCGTGGGGCCTGAACTCTGGGCCTGGGCGCTGTCCCTCAGCTCCTCAGCTCAAGGCTAGAGCTCTACCACTTGAGTCATAGTGCCACTTCCGGCTTTTTCTGCTTATGTAGTGTGCTAAGGAATTGAACCCAGGGCCTCATGCATGCAAGGCAAGCGCTCTACCACTGAGCCACCTTCCCAGCACCCTAGGACTTCTTGACTTCTGAGGAAGACACACGTTTGGACCTCACTGGGGGTCCTGTCAGAGCGGGCATGCACCTGGACGTGTGCATACACCCACACACATGCATACACACTTTAAAAATTAAAAAAAAAAACAAAACCATAGTCCAGGGGAAGCTAGAGGCAAGGGACACTCAGGGCATAGGCCACTTACCCACTCATAAAATCTCCAAAAATATAGAGGCCGTTCAGATTGGGGTACTCGCAGCCACGGTACACGTAGCCCCCGGTCACCGACTTGCCTAGCTTATGCGGATAGGCAAAAATGGGCAGCACATCATCTGGTAATGGGGCAAGAAACTGAGATGAGCCAGGGACTGGGGGTTCCTCTGTAAGCTGGCTCCCCGGTCCCCACCCAGCGCTTCAGGGGCAGCTGTGTGTGCAGGGGTGCAGGGCGAGGAGACAGCCAGGACCCCAGGCACCAGGGGCTGAGGGGTGGAGCAGATGATGGCAAGAAGGAGCCAGTGGTGCCCAGCACTGGCAGGGAGTTGGACAGGGGGTAAGGTGAACGGTGCCCAGGGAGGGTGGGGCTGGGGCGCAGGCACAGGCGGGGTGCCGGCCAGGCTGGAGGTGGGATCAGCACCCCGGGGCGCAGGCACAGGCTCGGTGCCGGCAGGCGCTCGATCAGCGGCCTAGGGCGCAGGCAGTCACCCAGGGAGGCGTTGGCGCACAGCTTGCGGTCGTAGCACTCGAAGCCCTCGCGCGCGCGCCAGCCATAGTTGCGGCCCGGCTCCACCAGGTCCACCTCTTCGAACTTGTTCTGGCCTACGTCCCCGCAGAAGAGGCGCCCGCGGCCCGCGCCCGACGCGGGGTCGCCGCGGTCGAACGAGCAACGCCACATGTTGCGCACACCGAAGGCGTAGACCTCGGGCCGAGCCGCGGGGTCGCCCACGAACGGGTTGTCCGGTGGGATGCGGTAGGGAGGCCCGCGCTCCGTGCGGTCCACGTCGATGCGCAGCACCTTGCCCAGGAGCGCCGACCTGCGGGACAGAGCAGGCTGGGGTGGCCCTGCGCCAGGGTGCATGGGCACTGCCCACCCCCCAAGGCCAGGGCTGCGGGGCTGACCAGTGGGGATCTCAGGCCTTCTGAATGAACACTTCGGGGCTGACCAGTGGGGATCTCAGGCCTTCTGAATGAACACTTCCGGTGAACCCATTTTTAGAAGGTCGGCTGGGAAGGTGGCTCTATGGTAGAGTTCTTGCCCAGCATGCATGGAGCCCTGGGTTCACCATATACACAGAAAAAGCTGGAAGTGGTGCTGTGGCTCAAGTGGTAGAGCGCTAGCCTTGAGCTGAAGAGCTGAGGGACAGCATCCAGGCCCAGAGTTCAGGACCCACGACCGGACTAAAAAAACAATTCCTATTTACAGGTTGCTGCTGTTGTTGTTTTCCAGGACATAGCCCAGTGATCAGCACATAGTAGGTGGTCATGAAGTATTGCTGAGACGATGAACGACTGTAGTCAAAGCCAAGAGCACCAAATACAGAGCGTAAGGGAAAGCTGAGTGGCGGAGGGAGGGGGAGGAGGAAGACGTGGTGCTCCCTCCTCCACCAGCTCTGGGGCTTTCATTGATCATGTAAGAAAAATGTGCAATGTGTTTAAGGGCAGAAAACAAACCCAGCCTTTTCACCCTGGATCCTGATGCACCCATTAACTGCACCCCCCACCCCCAGGCCACCTCACCAAGCAGGGGCTGGTGCAGTTGGGATTGTCACAGCACTCTAGAATCGCATTTCCTTCTTCCTTACACATCACTCATGTCATCTTCCACAATGATAAGACCACTCCGCCCTGAGATGCCCCGTGCTCATCCCCCACTGCGGCCTTCCAGTTCCCCTAACTACTTGGCCACACCACTATCCCCCCGCCCCGTCCCCCGTCCCCCTCCCCTCCCCCCCCACCCCCGCCAAGGATTAGCCTGTTTCTAGCAGCAAGATAATACTTCTAAATTCAAACGATCTGAAATCCTTAAATTCTGTGTTTGCAGCTTCATTGCCAAACACAAGGCAAACACCAGGAAGTGGAATGCTCTTTGCCCTGTCAGGCAAGGGAAAAGTGCCACGATCACAATTCTTGCTCCTGTTACTCTCTGGATGAGGGAGGTTGTGGCACCCTAAGAGAATGTGAAGTCTCAGACTCCTGATCCCTGTGAACACATTCACAACTGTGTGTGGGTGCTTGGGGGTGTGTGCAGGGCAGGCTTGTGCGTGCACATGCGCCTGTGTGAGGAGAGTGGGCAAAGGACTGTGGGGAGGGTGTGCACATATGGAGAGGGGCGGGGCATCTGCGCAAGGCAGGGATTTGGAAAGCAGAGGGAGGCTAGACGCTCAGCACCCAGGTCTCTCCGCGTGAGCCCTCCTGCAGACAACACCTTTAACTGTACGCCATTCTCCAGGATCACCCTCAGCCTTCCCAGTGGGCGGCCCTATCATCTTGAGACTGACCCTAAGAGAATCCAATCTTTCAGAATCTCACTGCTATCCCCTCCGCCACGGAGGTGCTGTGCCTGACCCTTGGGACCAAAATTGCCTGCTTGCTTCATAAGCAGCCTCAGTGGAGATTATTCTTTCTCTAATTCATGGGAGAAAGCACCTTGCCTGGGGTCCCTAACTAGCTGCAGGCTGAGCTGGGGCCCCAACCCCTTTCTACAATCCTCCTCTGCTTGGCTCAGAGCCGTGTAAGAAGCCCAGGAGCGTGTGAACCATGCACCCGCCAGGCAAAGGCAGTACATACTTGTTCTGGGCATTTCCAAATTTCCCAAAAGGGTCTCCAGCCATCCCACCGTCTCCAGTGAAGATATAAAGGTACCCATCATCCCCAAAGAGCAGTTGACCTCCATTGTGGTTCGAGGCTGGCTCTTCAATCTCCAGGATAATCCTGCAGGAAGAGAACACACACACACACACACACACACACACACACACACACACACATGCACACACACACACAAATAAAAACTCAACCTTTGGCCAGGGTCAGTGCCTCATGTCTACAATCCTAGCTACTCAGGAGACTGAGATCAGGGGATCACGGTTCAAAGCCAGCCCAGGCAGGAAAGTCTATCAAAAACCGGAAGTAGTGCTGTGGCTCAAAGCGGTAGAACGCTTGCCTTGAGCAAAAAAGCTCAGAGACAGCACCCAGATCCTGAGTTCAAGCCCCAGAACCGGTACACACACATACAACCTTCCACACATAAGCCACAAACAGGAAAGGAGATCATCAATAAGATGTCTTTTTTCTGATGTCATGTCATAATGGAAAAGGCTCTTTGTGTCCTTTCATAATAAGTGATCATCACAGATCAGTAGGGGATAGTTTACTCCTTTGTGTTAAGGAGAACAGAGAGGTTGTATGGCTTTCCTAGAGTCACACAGCCCCTAGGTAGCAGGGCTGAGACTAGGCCTCAACTCTTCTAGATCAAGTCTAGTGTTCTTTCTGTTGCTTTTTCACTGCTAGCACCTACTTTTTTTTGTTATGGGAGCCTATCACCTGACCTCTGGCACAGCCGCTTCCTTGTCCTCCCAGTTTTCCATGCACCAGCTACCTATGTGCAGATTCTACATGCACCACGGTGGTGGCAGAGCAGGTGCTAGCCTTGGGCAGAAAAGTGAAGGGACAGCACCTGTGTCCCGAGTTCAAGCCCTAGTACTGGTACAAACCACAGAAACCTGACCCCTGGGTTTCACCTGAAGTCTCTGCCAGAAGTCAGTCACCCAGGACTCCCCAGTACCAAGCTGGGGTTGGATGGAGATGGACCCAGGGGCCCCTCTTGGGCTAGGCCAGGTCAACCCCATTTTGGAAATGGCATAAATGTCCGGGAGCACAGGATCTGGGGTAGCAAGGGGCTTGGAGGCAGGAGCAGATAAAGTGTGGGCAGGAAAGGCCAGCAGGGGTGGTGGGCATGGTGGGCTCAGAGCCTTTGGGGAGAGAGGGAGGGGAGGAGGGAGGGCCTCGGGCAAGGCTCAGGGTCCCAGCTCAGATGCTTCCTAGCTGTGCAACCTCACAGACCACTTCTCCTCTCTGAACCTCCGTGTCCTTATCTGTAAAATGGGAAACATGACCCTCATTCCTTGGGTTTATGAGTCAGAGGCAAAGAACCATCTCAGGACCTGAAGCTAAAGAGTTCTGGGAGAGCTGGAAGATCTCAGAGGTAGGGCCGTCACCAGGGGCAGGTCTGCTTGGAAAACCATCCACCCCAGTAGGCCCCCACTCGGTATGTGAACTAATCACAACGTCTGACAACAGACACGGCGTGAGTGCACTGGGTGATCGGTCTCCTGCACGCCCAAGTGCCCTGTGGGATGTGTCTCCCGCACACCCACCCCCCCACCCAACCTGGGCTCCCCCAAACCACCTCTCCGAGCGGTGGTCCACGGTGTTCTCGTCCTCCTGTGACACGCTGAACTCGCTGATGCGGATCCACTCGTGGAAGTCGACACCCACCGAGTAGTAGACGTAGACCTTGCGGGTGTGCCGGAAGCGCGGGTGGAATGCCAGCCCCAGGAAGCCCCGCTCATCGCCCTCCCAGGGCGAGGTGAGCACGGCCCGGCTGATGTTCAGGAACGGCTTCTCCAGCCTGGAGCGGTCAGGCAGGTAAGCCCACACCAGCCCCACCTGCTCAGCCACGAAGAAGCGGTGGCTCCCGTCCTTGGCGTGGACCAGGGCCACGGGGTTGCGCAGCCCGTTGGCCACCTCCTCCAGACACAGCTGCAGGCAGCCCTTGGCATCCGCAACCACGCGGCCCAGGTTCAAGTTCAAGTTCTCATTGACCAGCAGACGGGGGAAGCAGTAGTCCGTGTCGTCCAGGGACAGGTAGCGACAGAACTTGGCGCGGTTGCCCTCCAGAGCCCAGAGCTCGCGGTCCGAGGAGAGGTGGCGGAAGAGGCCGCGGCACGTCTGCCACATGTCCAGGCAGTAGTCCTCGCAGAGGCCGGGCATGGTCCGCAGGGGCGTGGCCGGGTCCTCTGCGTCGTACAGGTGGGCTGCATAGGGAGAGCACTCCTGCCAAGACAGGGAGGGCTCATCCATGGCTTGCCGTGATCCTTACCAGAGGTGAACCGTGGGCAGGTCACTCTGCCTGGGCCACGAATCATCCCCTTGGCCTCCAATCTCCTCCTTGCCTTAATGCGGGGGGGGGGGGGGGGGGGGGGGGGGGGGGGGGAGGGCGCACACACACACACACACACACACATCAGTTCTGGGTATTAATCCTTAGCTTTTTCACTCAAGGCTGATACTCTATCATGTCTGCCACAACTCCACTTCTGGCTTTTTGGTGGTTAATTGGAGATGAGAGTCTCACGGACTTTCCTGTCCAGGCTGGCTTTGAACCTCTGATCCTCAGATCTCAGCCTCCTGAGATACCTAGGATTAAAAGCATGAGCAACTGACTCTCAGCTGCCTTAATGTCTTTTAGTACAACCCTAATCTTTACTGCTTCTGACAGCCAACTCACGGGCAGCTGTACGTCTGGGACACCCGAGGCAGGCTTTGGGTTTGTGTCGTGTCTCCCCGCGCTCCACATCTGCATGCTTCACTCCTTCCTCAGGGATGACCTCCACATTCACCCCACACCCCCTTAAAACACTTCCGACAACAGACACCACGGTGAAAAGCCACATGCCACTTATTTATGATCTGTTTTCCTCAGCACGCATCCTGTCAGGACAGGACGCTCTTCGTCACGTTCACTCGGTGCCCCAGATCCTCACGTGGAATCCAGCACCTGGTGCATACTCTAGGGAATATTGCCCAGGAGGCCTCTGCTGGCTTTGGTTCATGAATGGTAAAGTGCTCTACTTCTTTTAGTCATTTACTTTTCCCTTGAATTCTATGAGAGAGAAACTGAGGCTTACCCCCACCAAGTGTCTTTTTTTATGTTTGTTAGTTGTGGGGCTTGAACTCAGGGCTTGGGAACAGTCCCTGAGTTCTTTTGCTCAATGCTAGCACTCTACCACTTGGAGCTACAGCACCACTTCTGATTTTCTGGTGGCTCATTGGAGCTAAGAGTCTTACGCACCTTCCTGCTCAGACTGGTTTCAAACCAGGATCCTCAGATCTCCGCCTCTTGAGTAGCTAGGATTACAGGTGTGAGCACCAGTGGTGCCCAGCTCCCAGTGCCATTTAGTGTCATGTTCCAGTTACTAACTTGAGGAAAGTGGGCTTTGATTTCAGGGTGATCACTTTCTCCAGCACTGGTTGGTCAGCATGTGCATGTGGTCCAGTGAAAGCATGTGATCTCACCCTCCCAGCCCGATGAGACTCTTATCTCCAATAAACCATCAGAAAACCGGAAATGGTGCTGTGGCTCAGGTGATAGGGTGCTCGCCTTGAGCTGAAGAGCTGAGGGACAGCGCCCAGGCCCAGAGTTCAAGCCCCACAATCGACAAAAATAATACTCATTGGTACCTGATGCAACAGACATGAGACCTCTCAGACACCTGGCCTCACCTTTGGATGGAGCTCTACCAGCCAAGGAGAAGCTGTGGGCCCGGCTGGGTTCCACCTGGAACCAACTGCAGCCTGGGGCCCACAAGTACCTCCCTCCGTGGTGCCCAGACCAAGGACCTCCCTCTGTGGTGCCCAGACCTGTGTGCAGTACTTCTGGTCTCTGAGCCTGACACTTCCTGTGACTCAGCTTCAGGCCCGCAGGACCCTCTGAGATGCTCCTGCAGAGCAGGGAGGGATGACAGCCATCACACACATGTCCCGTTTCCTCTTTGCTGGGCTCGGCCACTATAACTCCTGATTGACAGATGAAGAAGTCAGGGCAACAAAGGCCAAGTGCCAAGAACTGGAGTTCACACCCAGGGCTCCGGCTGGTGTTCTTTCCTGTGACATTTCACGCAGGTGTCTGCTGGGCAGAGACTTACGAGCTAGAGACACAGGGAGGGACAGAACAGAGTTCCAGATGCCCGATCGAAGACACCTCCGCTCACTGGAGTATGGCCCACGCACAGAGGAAGCACGGGGTCTCTGGGGCCAGCCTGCCGAGCCGAGTGGCCTTTATTCATGGCCCGTGTGGAGTACGGGACTTAGACCAGCGAAGTGCATGGTTAGGAAATGACAAGAGGGGACAGGGAAGGCTGGAGAGGATGACGGGTCCTTCAGTAGGCCTCCCAGGAGGCAAGGGGAAAACACACAGAGGAACAAGCTAGTATCCTTGCTCAGCTGCTGGCCAATCAGGGCAGCGAGAGGGTGCCTGCCACACCTCCCTGCCCATGGTTGCCATGACACTGTCCCTGATACTCATGACTCATGGTCCTGGGTCCTCAAGGCCACTGATGTCCGCCACCCCCCTCTTTCGGAAGACAGTCTTGTACACAGTGTTCTCTATGGGATGCTCTGTCCTGGTCCGCCCACTTGCACATCTGGCAAGCTACTATTCATGAAGTCAAGCCCAACCCACAAGTCTCCGCTGTCTCAGCTTTCTCCTGGCTGCCTCCACCCCTGGCCTGTGGGTCCACACCTCAGACACAGCTTCGGTACCAGGAAATCTGCTCGCAGGAGCAGCTCCCCACCACTGTCACCTCTCCATTGCCGGAGGTAGCCTGGTGGCACGCTTGGGTGGGGCTCAATGATCTATTTGTGTGTCTGTGGGACCTTCCAGGGGCTGGCTCTGGGATCCAGCACATGCTGCCTGGGTGACTTTAGCCAGCTGTTTTACTTCTCTGGGCCTATACTATAAAAGGGAAAAGGGATTGTAGCCTGGCAGAGTTGGCGGGAGGAATTAGCTGAGATGAGACATGCTTTTGTTCAGTCAATGCTCAAATGATATGAGAATGTTGAGGGCTGGCAGAGTGGGGACTGTGGCAGAGCACGAGCCTACTGCAAATCCCAGGACCGTAAATAAATAAGAAGCAACTCGGTGGTGCTTTCTCCAAGAAGCTGCCCCCGACTGACTTGGCTTTTTTTTTCCTGTGCCCCCTCATAATCTTGGAGAGCCTCTAGCAGGTTCAAGGAAGTACCTGTACGACTCTTTCCTGAACTGAACTAAAGGACTTTGTTGGAGGAGCAGGGAGGTCCTGGGGCCAAAACTCAGGGCCTGGACACTGAGTTGTTTTGCTTTTATTCCTTCAAGGTTAGAGCTCTACCACTTGAGCCACAGTTCCACTTCTGGCTTTTTGGTCATTAATTGGAAATAAGAGTCTCACAGACTTTCCTGCCCAGGCTGGCTTTGAACCTTTGATCATCAGATCTCAACCTCCTGAGTAATTAGGATTATAGGTGTGAGCCTACAACTTGACAACTAACTCTGGGCCAAGCAGCAGGGCAGGGCCATCTCCTCCAGACCCTGGAAATGAGTCTGCTGTGTGCATGACTGCAGAACTGCCTTTCTAGGAGGCCCCTCTGGGCTCCATGCATTGATCATGCCAGGCACCCGAAGAGGTTACCTCTGTCACCAAGAAACAACTTTGTGGAGGGCACACATCAGGAACACCAAGAGCCATAGCCATCCTGTAGGAGGACAAAGCCAAGGGCAGCGTCTCAGCCTCTCTAAGGCCAGTGTGAGGACTGAAAGCCAGCCGAAACCTTGGGCGCAGCACCTTGTCCCTGATGTGTTGGAAATCAGGAGGTGCTACAACGAGATCCGGCCTTGCCTGGCAGACAGGACAGGGCCCTTGCCAATGCTTTCCCTGAGGCCCCATCAGGGAGACCATGGCCCAGCCTCAGCCGCCTGCTGCAATCTCACTCCAGACATGAGATCACCCCTGGAGACTCTGCGGCTAGAGGTGCAAGCACCACAGACTGTTCAAGGCCAGGCTGTCCTGGGAACTTTCCCAAAGGAAGAGACGTACACACAACCCCCTCCCCCCCCACTCCCCTGGGCCCCCAGCCTAGGCTACCTCAGAGCTGACATTCTCTTCCTCCTTGCACTGGCCACCTTGTCTATCCTGCTAAGTCCAGCACATAGTAATTGCTCAATAAACAAATGTAGAATGGTTGTTGCATGTCCTGGGGAATAGGGCAACCAAAGAACTAGGATCCAAAGAGTCCTCGGGCTGGGGTGGCCGGCAGGAAGCCAGACTGTCAGCCCCCTTGAGATGCACAGCGCCGGGGGTTCATCAGTGCCCACCAGGAAGTGCGCAGCCCAGCCTCCAGAGCATTCCGTGCCACTCACCTCACCTCGAGTGCCTCTTACATCCCACCCTGATGTGTGGGTTCCCAGTTCTCCTGCCACCATGGGGCTGCAGGACTGGGGACTGTCCCAGTGGGCCAGGTTCCTGCCTTTCTCTGGGTCTTCCTTAAACTCCACCCACATATGGGGGGAATCCACCTGTCAAGTCTCACTAGCCCTCTAACTGTTTTAATCTGCCTGGCAAGTTGGGGGCCGGGGGGTTGGCAGTTAAGGTATAACCAGAGGGCAACAGTGGACTTCCCAGGGTCTTACAGCCAAGAGGTGGGCAGAGCAAGGGCCAAATCTCCAGATGTCAAACTTGAGTCAGCCCTTCTCCCCTTGCCTGTATTGGCTGAAGGCTGCAACTCCACACTGCACCGCGGGACTCCACCCCACCCCCACCCCCAGTCCCCTCACTGCCCAAGCTCTGGGCCAGGGCCAGCCCTAGTTAGGGCTTCCCAGCCTGGGCCTCATTTCTGCATTTGGCCGGGCAACTGTGGTGTGACCAGGCCTTGGACCCCAGCCTGCTCAGGAGGAAAATAACTATGGCAGGTCTGGGGTGGACCAAAGCAGGACATCACTCGGGTGGTCTTGAGAGAGCTTCATGGTGCCCTGCCAGGTGAGGGTGGATTCCCGGGCCAGCAGGAACCAGAATCCAGGAGTGGAAGCACCTGGGGATCCCAGGCCCAGCGTCAGCCGGGCTGAGCAGGAGGGGCTCCCCCCAGAGCCTTAGGCAACCCCAGGCCCCAGCCCAGGTGCCAAGCCCAGAGGAGCAGGAAACACCTGGTACAAAGGCCAGGCTGCTGGGGATGGGACGCAGAAAGCAGCACTCCAGGGCATCCTGGGGTGGGGGGGTCCCTGTCTCCAGAAGATAGGGAACAGAGGGGAAACTGAGGCCCAAGAAGGCCCA